GCTCACACCCAGTTGAGCCCTTGCAAAATGGAATCCTGTTGATATTTCACGACCGAATTTGGATTCCCTGTTTTGCGGGGGGATTTGTTTCGTAGACAGGGGGTCAAAATTAGTGGCCCTTGGGCCCACAATTCCTGGGTGCCAAAGACAGCCAGTTTAGATGTGCGCAAGGCGAAACCAAGAGGATGGGTTAGCTGACTAAGGGAAACGATCTAACTTCGCTACTTCCAAGGGTCAATTTGCGCCCGAAGTGGTCTTGTGTACCTGAAGGGAAATAACAAAAACATAGGGATCCTTTTTAGGATAGTTTGGTGGTTAGAAATAGATGGGTTCCGCTGGTTTAGATTGGTTGTTCCATTTACCACCCGATTTCCAAAGGTCGCCTACTTCGGACGAAGTCCATTTCGACACCATTGTTTGTTGGCATTCACGTTGGGGAATCGCATCATTCCGTTGGGTTTCTGAATGGTGGTGCCTAAGAGGATTTCGCGTCCATCCACAGTCTGAACAAAACGGCACCCAAGGAATGACAACCTAGAGGGAAATGCCCAAGATCGGGTCTCACTTTTTTCAGCCCCGGGGTCCGAAAGGCTCGGCACTGAGGCAGACCCGCGGGTGCTCTGTCGCGTCTTGTGCAGCGGCCGCATCGCTGAGGCGCTTGAAGGGAAGTTTTTGTAGCTGGACTGTAGCTACTTGTTGGGTGAGCATGGCGGTTTTACAAACTGCAAGCTTGCTCAAGAATATTTTTCGGTTGTCCCCTGTTGGTGTTAAAGGGAACCTATACAAAAAAAACAAGATGGCTTAAGCAAATGGAAGCAAAAGTTCAGACGTTTTTGGCCGCTCAGGAAGTGAGGTACCGGGTGTGCTAAACCACAGTTTTGGGGCACATGCTTTGGCCTATGCGCTGAGGAAGTGAGGTGTACAGGACGTGCTGAAGAGTTTGGGGGACAGGTTGCTGGCCAATCCTCTCCGAAAAGTGAGGTGTACAGGATGAATTGGGCTCCAAAACCTGTAGGTTGTTTTCAGCCCAGGTAGCATGGTCCTTCGTGGTTTTCCCTGCATTTTCCCGGCCACAAGCTGAACAAGTCGATTCAATGAGTCAACGGATCCAAAGGGGGCACTGGATCGGAACGGGAACGCCCGCTAGGAATCAACAGGGAGACGCCCCAAAAGAAACCACAAACATCGCAAAACCCAAAAGGTGGCAGTCCCAGAAGCAAGCCCAAGAAGGACCTCCAGCCAGACTGCAGAACCCCAGATAAAAAGCCGCTTGAAGCAACCGATGCCAGGTGCGTGGCAACCTGCAAGTCCTGGAGGTGCGACCCGCGAAGGCGGGGGGGGGGCGCTGAGTTCAGTGGTGAAATCGAGCCCCGAGCGAAGAGGGGAAAAAGAAGAAGATGGTTCAAGGTCAGCATCTTTTTTGAAGTCAGGGGTTAATTACTTTTTATTGCTCATACTGTGGATGGTTGCGAAATCCGTTTTCTTGGGCACCACCTTTCAGAAACCCAACGGAATGATTCAATTATCCTACCAAAGTACCAACAACCGTTATGGTTTCAACCATGGCTTCTTCGGTGGTGCAAACTGGATTTCGTCCATGCGCAGTGTCAATCAAACATGGGAATGCCCTCTCTCCCGCGTTGCCATGGCAGCTGACAAGGGGGTTTCCAGGAACCTGCCACAGGTGCTAGTGGGAGGAAGGGTATTAATCAGAAAGGGGGATATGAACTAGCTGGTGGTTAGGGAGCCAAGGAGCTAGAGGTATCTAAATTGGGAGCTAAGGAGCTACCAGGGATTCTGGTTTGAGACATGGTTCATCCGGGGTTCCCAGTACCATGGCTGGCGTGATTTGTGTTTTTGCGGTCGCCTTTGGCGGCTGGGCGCGAAAACGGGCGGGAGGCAGATTGCGGCTTACGACCTTCGACATTTTCCCTGAGCGGCACAGGCAAACGCTCATGCACGAAGAACGCGCGCGCCGCCATGCGCGCAGAGACACCCACACACAGAGACAATCGCAGAGAAGCACAAAGCCACAAACACGCGAAGACGCAAACCCACGAACCTGCAAGCATAGCTTAGAGTGGCTGGCAGCGGCAAGCATAATGTTAACACCCAAAAAATCAGGGGTCGTACAATAACTCAAAGTTTGTTCCCTATTCTGGTTTGCCACCATTGTTGATGGGTACCAGAATAACTGAAAGTTGTTTTGCCCGGGGGGAAAAATCCCAAACAATATATCCACAATTCAATTTTAATTTAGAAAGTTGCAAGCCCCCAGCCCCCTCCAGAAAATAAACTATCAGTTGCTTTCCTCACAAGCATTCCCCTTTTAATTGGTGGCCCACTTACTTAAAAGCACTCCGTTTCAATTGGTCGCCCACTTGCTTAAAAGCATTCCCCTTTTAATTGGTTGCTCAAACACAAAACCCAACGCCAGCTGAAACCTCTGAAATTTGAAAACCAATCCCAGCCCTGAAGCTGCAAATTCTTTATAAAACCGTGTTTAAAACATGAAAAACAACAATCAGGACAAGGGTACCCCTCACAGACTCCACTGAACCACAACAATGGCACTCTTTAGGGGGACCAGATTACTTGCAAGCCCCCAGCCCCCTCCAGAAAATAAACTATCAGTTGCTTTACTCAAAAGCATTTCCCTTTTAATTGGTGGCCCACTTACTTAAAAGCACTCCGTTTCAATTGGTCGCCCACTTGCTTAAAAGCATTCCCCTTTTAATTGGTTGCTCAAACACAAAACCCAACGCCAGCTGAAACCTCTGAAATTTGAAAACCAATCCCAGCCCTGAAGCTGCAAATTCTTTATAAAACCGTGTTTAAAACATGAAAAACAACAATCAGGACAAGGGTACCCCTCACAGACTCCACTGAACCACAACAATGGCATTCTTTAGGGGGACCAGATTAGTTGCAAGCCCCCAGCCCCGTCCAGAAAATACACTATCAGTTGCTTTCCTCAAAAGCATTCCCCTTTTAATTGGTGGACCACTTACTTAAAAGCACTCCCCTTTCAATTGGTCGCCCACTTGCTTAAAAGCATTCCCCTTTCAATTGGTTTCTTTCTAGCTCAAGCCCTCCCTGGCTGAAAGGCACACCGTTTGAATGGCTACTAACGTAATTAGTATTCCAAAAAGTATGCTCAGGAAGAAGTGGTTGCAATACTAAAGTAGAATTGCAAAAAGGAAGTGGCTGCAATACTGAAGAAGGATTGCAAAAAGGAAGTGGTTGCAATACTAGCAAAAAGAAGTGGCTGCAATACTAAAGTAGAGTTGCAAAAAGGAAGTGGCTGCAATACTAAAGTAGAATTGCACAAAGGAAGTGGCTGCAATACTAAAGTCGAATTGCAAAAAGGAAGTGGCTGCAATACTAAAGTAGAGTTGCAAAAAGGAAGTGGCTGCAATACTAAAGTAGAATTGCACAAAGGAAGTGGCTGCAATACTAAAGTCGAATTGCAAAAAGGAAGTGGCTGCAATACTAAAGTAGAATTGCAAAAAGGAAGTGGCTGCAATGCTAAAGTAGAATTGCAAAAAGGAAGCCTACTTTCTTCCAGCGCCTCCATTGTTCAGGGGGGGGGCCTTTATTAATCAAGTGCCAACATTATTGTTGTTTGTACAGCCCAAGTGCTGGAAAACCACGCCTCCACGCGAACTGAACGCTTTTTTGAGCGGTAGGTTGGGACAGGCTGGATGCCAAGAGACGTTCACCGTCCAGTGCATAGGTAGCTGTTGGTTTCCTTTTGAAACCAAAGGGCGGTTCATTTTCAGCGAGTTGGGCAGCGCCCTCGTGCGTTGAAAGCCGGTGTGTTGAATCCGCTACATCTTGCAGCTTAGCGCTACCCAACACAATGCAGCAAACTCGTATGATTAACTACAGCGTCCCTGCAGCAATGGAGTATGATTGGAGTCTTACGTTGTTGCGTGCTTTGAGCAAGCACCAAACACTTGGAGAGACTAGCCTGGTAAAGGGGTAAAATAGAAGTAGATGGCACCTTGTTGATGAGGTGAGCTGGGCCCTGCAAAACCTTGGGCCCTGCAAAAACTCACAGCTATAAAGGAACCGACCCGCCACTGCGGTGTACACAGACTGCTTGGCTTGACTATGAGGGCAGCCCTCGTTTGGCTTCTCTCAAAGGGCTCGGCGCATGGATAACTTCCCACGAGCATGAAACCCGATAGGGCTGCTGTTGCTTTGCTGTTTGTTCCCGAATTCGTAGCGAAGGGTTCGCGTTTATAGTGTGGGGATCTGGGGTTGGACCCTTGTGCGCGTCGGTTGATCGTTGGTTTGCGCAAAGTGATGTGCATTGGGGTTCGTGGGCTCTGTCTTTTTCTCATCTTTTTCCAGAAGCATTGGGAAACAAATCGGCAACAAATCGGCTGAGACTGAGACGTGGGAGGCCGATATGCCTCGCTTGCTGGGCTCGCATGCGAAGGCCTAAGCTGCACTGAAACAGAGAGTGTTTGCTGGCGTGTCAAAGCTTGGATCTTGATGTGCGTGGCGCAGAGGCGGCTCGAGCCTCTTCACCCCCACAAGCCTTTTCACATGTGGGGCTCACAAAATATGGCCCCTTTGTTGGTCTCATTTTTTTAGGCGGGTTCGCATTACCTTAGGGTACCAGATGGGCTCCTTTTTTAATAGCCCCCACATCACTTGTGATGAAAGGTCGAGCAAAGACTGCGCCATCTGTAGATCTCCCTGATGAGTTCAAAGAGCTGGCGAAGCAGCATGTACCTTGCATGTGATGTCAGCAAAGCCCCCTGCTTGAAGAAAGTACGGATTGGTAGCAGGCTTAGGCAGACACGCAGCGCAACATGCCCCACACGCACACAATCACACACAGGCACGTGTAGGGCACCGGCTGTGCAACGACGGAAGAGTGGCAAACAGCATGCAGCGCAGACAGTCGTGATCTCTCCAACGATCATTTTGTGCTACAGACTGCGGTAAGTTTTTTTTTTTTTTTTTTTTTTTTTAAATTTTATGTAGCGTTGCTGAATGTAGAGCTCGCCTATGGCCATGTGGCGAGATGAAGCCAACAAGCTTGCGAGGTGCTGTAGTGTCAGTGAGATTGCTGAATAAGCGCAGTACCATACGTTTTAGCAAGCGCAAGGTAGCAAGCGCAAGGGCCATTTGGTTTCAATCTTGCAGGACCATGTCGTTGTCACGCCCACGTGCTCCGTCTCACTCAGGCGCTTGAACCCCGATTCAGCTGGCGAGAAGCTCTTGCTGTTTGACAAAAAAGATGAAGAGCAGTGCACACTCACAGTCCTGAATTGGACGTCAAGCTACACTGGCAAGTCGCAAGACGAGGCGGCTAAGAGGTTCGTGGAGGATCCAGAAGTGAAGAGAGAGATTGATAATCTTGGGCCCTCCAAGAGGAAAAAGAAGATGTTGGCGCATGAGGCCCAAACTGCCAAAAGTGTTTTCAACTCCATTTGCCCTTGATGTGCGTGGGCGGGGCCATGCGAAGTTACATGGGCGGCCCAAGCGCTGCCGAAAGAAGTGTCTATGCGGAAAAGCGCCGTGCTACAGCTGAGCAGAGCTGTGAGGAAGTGCTGGCGCTTCCGTGTGCTTGTGGTATGTTGAGTGAGCGACCAGGCCCAGCAACGTGTGAGCCGCCTGCGGTCACCGCCTCAAAACGTCAACACCTCGTGGAACCCCCACGGGCTGTTGAAAACAGCTGCAACACACCTTGCAACGCATGTTGAGTGTCTAAGGCCAAGATGTCGGGCATTTCACGTGTTCTTGCGGCCTCCCAGGATTTCACCAAGAAGGTGTTGACCAAGGAAGCGGAGGCGGCCGGGCTTCAGGCCAGTTTGCCATGAACTTTCAAGAGCACAACCCAGGGAATCAACATCACGGATGGTGTTGGCAGGCCCTCGGAGGCCATTGTGTAATGTTTTGCAGGTTTTTGCTCGAACGTGGTCTGTTTTTGTTGCACTAGAGCCAACCACAGCAGTTGCGCCTGCCAAGTGCTTGATTGAATACTTGACTTTGTACGTCGTAGATTTGGTCACAGAGCTGCGTGTTGCGTTCCCAACAGCAGCCCTGCAAGGGTGCTTGTTGAAATTGGTCGGATTTCCGCAAAAGCTGGGGAGTACGGGTGCCTATGAGGCAACCATAGTTCTCCTCATGTCATGAACGCTCCAGAGAGCAGTTGCCAGATAAACGCTACCCCGGGGCAGAGGTGGGCGCTTTCACCTGGCAACAGCAGAGTTCTGTGTGGACAGGCTCACGCGAAGATGATCATCGAGATACGCAAGCAAGTGTACGCCAAAGTGGCGCTCAAGGACGAAGGCGTGTTATCCCTGTTCACCGACTGTCAGACCACCAACAGTCTGAGGTCACCAAAGATTTGTTGGACGCAATTTTTGCTGGTACACATTTGCAGACTCCTCACCCACTATGGGAACCGCAAGTTTTTCCCCTGGGATGTTTCTCAACATGAGGGAGTTTGAAAAGTGATTGGTTTTTCAAAAGGCCCCCCTCAATCCCCTTCGCGATGCGCATCAGACGATCGATGGCTGTGTGTGTGGTTGCGTGCGTGTGTGTGATGAGTTTAATATTAATAGCCATGTCATGAAGTTTAAGCCAGGGCGCCATCAGTCCTCCATGAGACTGTGTGACAAGTCTATGTGCCGTCGCAAATTAGGGAAGTTCATCAGTGGCTGGTTTCCTCAGTACCTTGTAAAACCCATTTAAAGGAGGGCATAAGTTGAGGCACCCATGTGCATTTTCTGCAGGCGGAGTGGTGGGGCTTTTCGCAAAGGATGAAAAGGGTTCCATGCATGGAGGCATGCAGAACGACTTCGTGCGGGAGAATCACAACATGGAGGAGAGGGGTCAGAGATTCGATGAGAAGTGTTCTTTCGCCTCAACGTGCTCGTTTTCCAGAGTGGGCCGAACATTTGTTGGGGACTTTGCGATCCGTTTTGCTTGCCCTGGAAAGACACGTGTAGGCTGACGGATCTGTTTTTGGGAAAAATTGGAAACATGGGTCGGGTCAGAATGGCTTTGTACTGGCTGAGTTTGAGGTATTGTTGTTTGTACAGCCCAAGTGCTGGATAACCACGCCTCCACGCAAACTGACCACTTGTTTGAGCGGTAGGATGCCAAGAGACAGCTGTTGGTTTCCTTTTGAAACCAAAGGGCGGTTCATTTTCAGCGAGTTGGGCAGCGCCCTCGTGCGTTGAAAGCCGGTGTGTTGAATCCGCTACATCTTGCAGCTTAGCGCTACCCAACACAATGCACACACACACAGGCACGTGTAGGGCACCGGCTGTGCGACGATGGTAGAGTAGCAAACAGCATGCAGCGCAGACAGTCGTGAACTACTGTAACCGAAGGCGTTGGCGAGAAGCTCTTGCTGTTTGACAAGGGGGATGAAGAGCAGTACGCACTCACAGTCCCGAATTGGACTACCAGCTACACTGGCAAGTCGCAAGATGAGGCGGCTGAGAGGTTCGTGAAGGATCCAGAAGTGAAGAGAGAGATTGATCATCGGGGGCCCTCCAAGAGGAAAAGGAAGATGTTGGCGCATGAGGCCCAAACTGCCAAAAGTGTTTTCAACTCCATTTGCCCTTGATGTGCGTGGACGGGGCCATGCGAAGTTACATGGGCGGCCCAAGCGCTGCCGAAAGAAGTGTCTATGCGGAAAAGCGCCGTGCTACAGCTGAGCAGAGCTGTGAGGAAGTGCTGGCGCTTCCGTGTGCTTGTGGTATGTTGAGTGAGCGACCAGGCCCAGCAACGTGTGAGCCGCCTGCGGTCACCGCCTCAAAACGTCAACACCTCGTGGAACCCCCACGGGCTGTTGAAAACAGCTGCAACACACCTTGCAACGCATGTTGAGTGTCTAAGGCCAAGATGTCGGGCATTTCACGTGTTCTTGCGGCCTCCCAGGATTTCACCAAGAAGGTGTTGACCAAGGAAGCGGAGGCGGCCGGGCTTCAGGCCAGTTTGCCATGAACTTTCAAGAGCACAACCCAGCGAATCAACATCCCGGATAATGTTAACAGGCCCTCGAAGGCCATTGTGTAATGTTTTGCAGGTTTTTGCTCGAACGTGGTCTGTTTTTGTTGCACTAGAGCCAACCACAGCAGTTGCGCCTGCCAAGTGCTTGATTGAATACTTGACTTTGTACGTCGTAGATTTGGTCACAGAGCTGCGTGTTGCGTTCCCAACAGCAGCCCTGCAAGGGTGCTTGTTGAAATTGGTCGGATTTCCGCAAAAGCTGGGGAGTACGGGTGCCTATGAGGCAACCATAGTTCTCCTCATGTCATGAACGCTCCAGAGAGCAGTTCCCAGATAAACGCTACCCCGGGGCAGAGGTGGGCGCTTTCACCTGGCAACAGCAGAGTTCTGTGTGGACAGGCTCACGCGAAGATGATCATCGAGATACGCAAGCAAGTGTACGCCAAAGTGGCGCTCAAGGACGAAGGCGTGTTATCCCTGTTCACCGACTGTCAGACCACCAACAGTCTGAGGTCACCAAAGATTTGTTGGACGCAATTTTTGCTGGTACACATTTGCAGACTCCTCACCCACTATGGGAACCGCAAGTTTTTCCCCTGGGATGTTTCTCAACATGAGGGAGTTTGAAAAGTGATTGGTTTTTCAAAAGGCCCCCCTCAATCCCTTTTGCGATGCGCATCAGACGATTGATGGCTGTGTGTGTGTGTGGTTGCGTGCGTGTGTGTGATGAGTTTAATATTCATAGCCATGTCATGAAGTTTAAGCCAGGCGCCATCAGTCCTCCATGAGACTGTGTGACAATGTGGCGTCGCAGATTAGGGAAGCTTCATCAGTGGCTGGTTTCCTCAGTACCTTGTAAAACGTGGTGGGGCTTTTCGCAAAGGATGAGAAGGGTGCCATGCCCGGAGGCATGCGGAACGACTTCGTGCGGGAGAATCACAACATGGAGGAGAGGGGTCAGAGATTCGATGAGAAGTGTTCTTTCGCCTCAACGTGCTCGTTTTCCAGAGTGGGCCGAACATTTGTTGGGGACTTTGCGATCCGTTTTGCTTGGGCTAGAGAGGTCCGGGAGTATTCGCAGGTTGTGACCCCTGGAAAGACACGTGTAGGCTGACGGATCTGTTTTCGGGAAAATTTGGAAACATGGGTCAGAGTGGCTTTTTATCACGGCCTGCCCAAGAGCTTTTCTATCCGTCAATGTCAATCTGTGTGCCTGTCAAAGGCTCCGCTATTTAGCTGCAGGGCAGGCGTCGCCTACTGCCAATCATACGTCCTTGTTTTAACTCCTGCAACAACTGCTGAAAATGTGCTGGCGCATTTGTTCGGGTGACGACGCGGAAATTAGTCCAAAGTTCTACCGACATAACATTTATGTGTCGTCGGCATCAGTTACTACGCCTTGCTCACACGAATGCCACTTTACATGTGGGCCCAGGCAATTTTCTTTGCCACAATTTCTAGGGTCTTCCATGGTGGCTCTCGCGGCACTGTTGGCTAGCTTCATTCTGAGAAGCTGGAAGGCTAGCGAGAGCTAGCCAGCTTTGGCGTCAACGCGCACTTTGCCAGCTTCGGCCACATGCTGAATGGTTCTCCGGAACCACTTTTGAGTCGTCTCGAAATGGGTTGCGGCAGCACTCAGCAAAATGCGTCACTGCCTGGCTTCGGGCTTTCTTGGCTTCTGCATCCGCAATTTGGTTTCCAAGTGTCCCATGATGTCTCTACTGTACCAGTAGAGCCAGCGAAGCTGGTGGACGGAAGTTTCTAAAGCGAGAAGAGTGCCTATAGGAAGAGCTTGGATTGTTTTTTTTGGTTGCGCTCTTTCTTTGTCTCTTTCTGTTTCTTTCTTTCTTTCTTTTCTTTCTTTCTTTCCTTTTCTTTCTCCTCTTCCCGAAGAGTGTATCTTTGGCCTCCACACGCTGTGCACAGCAGAATATCCCAAACTAACAGAAGGAGTCAAAACCTAAGAGTGTATCTTTGGCCTCAAGACACAGTGTGCAAAAGATCAGCGCCCTACCTTTCCCCCATTCGAGTGGCTCCGGCTACAACCCCAAACTGACAGGGGGGAACTAAAAACAGGGGGAGTCAAGACAAGGCGCGTTTGTTTTTTCTATGTCGCTCAAGACCTCTTGGTGGCACCCGGTGACCTGAATTGGCGCACCGGACATGAGCATCAAGGACACGAGTTGCCATGGGCCACGACGGCGCAGGACTTTGTCAAGACTTATCTCTAGCTTTGGACTAGCTCCAAATAGCCTTGCGGTGTTTGGCCACCTGGCTGCAAAGCCAAAGAGCCGCCTTCCGCCAGAGGATAAGCGATCCTAGCTAACGCCCTTTCTAGACGTAGTCGCGAAGCAAGGAAAGGAACCCTCTGCTTGCAATTAATTGGGGTCTTTGGGGCGCCTGCGAACGAGCAGCATTTTCATGTCGCCCACAATCGCGGGAGTCTGTCTCACACACTGAGGCCCGTTTGAAACAAGTTGCCAACATGCCCGCGGAGTTCCGTCTGCCCAGTCCCTAAACATACGCAGTGTGTGCTGTATGGGCGACAGTAGCTCTTCTTCGAAGAAAGTCAAGGCATCCGTCTCTGGCAGAGTCTCGCCAGGGTTGGCAAAGTTTGCTGCCGTCAACCAAAAAGGCAGCTTGGCCATGTTCTCTCTAGCTCGAGCTTCTTGCGCGCAGAGCTGACAAATTAGCTGGTCCTGTTCCAGCCAAGACCGACGAGGCGCCAGCGCAAAGTTCGTCTTTTTGAAGCAGTGCGACTCAAACTTCCCAGGCATGTCGTTCACTGAGACATGGGTGCCAAACCACCCTTTTTTGCAATAGGCGCATGCGCGAAACTCGAGCAACTGCAGAAATGTGTCTACTTCACGCACCTGATGAAAAAACGACATCGCGCGACACTCTGCGTCAGCCCAGAGCTGGCGGGGGCTCTTTGGCATTCTCGGCCTGGGCAACTTATTTCCCAGCTCGGTCTCTGCAGTACGCAGCTTTGGTGCAGTCACGCGCTTGCCACGGGGCATCGTCGCTGTCCCGTGTGTGCAGACTTTGCGCTCTAGGGTTAAGATTGCCGGACCAGGCAGACACTGAACCACATGTATTGAATTAAATTAGTGAAATATAGTGAAATAGTTTGTGAATCAAAATAGTGAATGAAATATTTAGTGAATCAAAATTGTGAATTGGGAAACATGGATTTGCAGATTCGCAAGCCCAATTTAGTGAAAGTTAGTGAATTTTAGTGAATTTTAGTGAATTTTAGTAACATTTAGTGAAATTTAGCGAAATTTATGAAATTCAATGAAATTTTTGAACGAGATTCACTAAATTTCTCTAAATTTCACTAAATTGGATTTGCGAAATTTAGTGATATTTAGTGAAATTTCGTGAAATTTAGTGAGCCTCTTTCTAAAATTTCATTTTTAATTAGGCTCACTAAATTTCACTAAATTTCACCAAATTTCATTAAATTTCACTAAATTTCGCTAATTTTCAATAAATTGGATTTGCAAAATTTAATGAAATTTAGTGAATCTCTTTCTAAAATTTCATTGAATTTAATTAGTTTTGCTAAATTTCACTAAATCTCACTAAATTTCATTAAAATTAGTGAAATTTAGTGAAATATAGTGACATTTAGTGAAGTTTGGTGAAATTTAGTGAAATATATGAAATTCAATGAAATTTTAGAAGGAGATTCACTAAATTTCACTACTGCCGGGGCACGCGCAGCGGCTTGTCCTCGAAGGCGCTCGGCAGCACCTCCTCGCAGGGCAGCTGGAAGCTCACGCTCTTCAGGCCCCTCATGCGCTGGCGCAGGAGCGTCTCCACCTCGGTCCTCGAGTTCCTGCGCTGCGTGCTCTTCAC